CTTAGGCTTGTGAATTGGACTCCCTTCAATTAAATAAGCTCAATGCTTATTTTAATTGAAACATGTCTAGTAGGTTGAAATAATTGATTCAATATAATTAACAATTAATTATATATTATTATCGTGCACGTAACGTCATTAATGCTATCGTAGGTGTGTGACCCCTTGGGTTATAATCAAAACCAGCAGTGAAATTAATTAATAAATTAATTTAATATCATAAGTCATGAATGACACCTATCAGCATGTTATGATTACTCGAATTAGGTAGAAGTATACATGATGTAATTGTGATATTTTTTCGAACCTTGAGTTACAATGCAATTCGGTTCTTATCATTCATATTCTGATCAAGATTTATGTGATATGAAATTATGTCAAATCACGTATAGATATCTATGTTCACCGTAATGAATCTTATGTTGAAGCAGTTCTTACAAACACAGCTTGATTAATAGTTACTCTGGCTAGAGATTTTTGAGATGGGTCTTCAAGTGACTTCAAGGGATATCTCATTCTATTGAACGATTACTAGAGGGCGATAAATTCTTTATTGCACATTTGTATGTCTCCGTACTCATACACATGAACCATGAAACACACTATCAAGCCCTGCAAAGTAATGATAACTTTAAGGTGAAGTCAAAGTTCATATTATAAGCATAAGATATCCGATGATGAGAACTATTTTCATACTACATCCTGAAGATTTGTAATGTTTGACATGTGGTAAATATCCATACGTTTAAGTTTCTTGGGTGGTTAGTGGTCACTGAACTTTGTTCGATAAACAAGCACATGTATATTCACATTGTGTCCAACACGTGTAGCATAACATCTTGCTACCTTAATTAAAAATAATATCTAAGAAAAACAAAAAGGTAAAACAATAAAAAAGTGTCAATTGACAAAAGGCTAGCATGTGTATAAATTTGAGTAGAGTTGATGATTAATTGATGTTAGGATCTGTGTAAGTCGAAGGTCAGTTTTGGTTAAATGATAGGGCTCATGCTTAATTAATCTAAGCACGTCCATGATAGGCTGGCTCATGCTCCTTGGCTAGCTCTTCCTTCCATGACGAGATTTCTGACTGCGATTTCCCATCAACTAAAGACCTGCGAGAACCAAGGGAACCTGTTTTCCAAAACCAATAAGGGAAGCTTGAGAGGGAAACATTAGTCCAAACCCTGACAAAGAAGCCAGGTCTAGGGTACTGTTACCTCGTAATTGTAGCGTTTTATCTCAATGACACAAAGATATATATATATATATATATATATATATATATATTTAGGATGACATTGGGGAGTGCTAGTAATTTTTGGTTTCACAAAATTCGGTATTTCGAGTTAGTGCAATAATCGAAAAAGAAGAAAGAAGGAGAAATTGCAGGAGGATTCAAACTTTAGCAACAACCAAGTGCTCTAAACAAGAAACAACTGCAACCACCAAATTCTTAAACCCTAAACTTCAAACAATGCTCTAAATAATTTATCCCAAATTAAAAGCCTAAGTTCTGAAATTCATCCTCAAATCAAAATCAAAACTCTAATTCTCATTCACAAATTCTTAAATCTTGAATTTCATCTCATGCCCTGGTAATGTATCCCAAATTAAAACATAAATCCTAAAATTCATTATCAATTCGAAATAAAAAACTATAATTTCACATTTTGTAATTAGATTGCGAAGAGGAGAGGGAGGTATGGGTTTGAGATTTTCGTGATTGCGGTGCGATTAAGGGCGTGGTGTGGTTAGTCATCATTGTGGTTTGGTGTGGCCAGCGTTTTGATAGTCGGAAAAGAAAGTGAAGAAGTGATTGAGAGAAGGGGCGTCTGAGTTAAGAGAGAGGGAGTGAGTAATTGAGGTGAGGTCGAGAGAGAGAGAGAGAGAGAGAGAGAGAGTTGAGTTTAAACGAATAGTTGAGATTCAATCTCAATCAAATCCAACGGCTAATATCAATTTAATTAAATATAAAATTATATTAAAAACTTTTTCGGTTTGTTTTGGGTTTATCGAACAAACGATTATTGGAAACCAAATACCATATCGAATATTTCGATAGTTTTCTATTTTGATATTTCGGTTTTCAGTATAATTTGGTTTTGGGTGTTTTAATTTTGGGTTTTTTTTTCTTTTTCCGTATGCAAGTATTTCGGGATTTTTTTCCCAACCCTAATAGTAATAAAGGAGAAAATAAATAGTGGGATTTAGTATAATTAAAAATTTAGTTTTAAGTGCTAGTGAAGTACACGTGGCATGAGAAGAATGAAATGAGAATATTTCTAGCATTTCTTTCATTAGTATATGACGTCACGGTAATGATGTACATGTGTCATGTAAGTTGCTCTTTTATTCAAGACCTACTAAAAAAGTTTGGACTAGTGCAATGGCCTAAACAGTCACTTTTATTTGGTTTTGAATAGTATTTTGCAACTCAATGATGAGTAGGAGTTACTACACAAAACTCTTCAAGCTTGACTCATAAAATTTCATGCTTATGAACGAACCAGTCATTATAGGCCTAGTTTGGTATTATTGTGCTTTTTTTTTTTAAAAAAAAATTGCTTCTGTTGTGTTGTGAGAATAAACAGCTGTAAAATAAAGTTATTAAGTGTTTGGTAAACCTTTTTCTGTAAAATTGCTTTTAATAAAAAAAAAAAAAAAAAAAAAGCAGTGTCTAAGTGTTTGGTATATTTTTATATAAATTGCTTTACATATGTTAAATGGCTAAAAAAATATATAGTATTTAATGTGATATAATAATTATCAAACACATTAATGTAGGGGCAAAGATTGTAATTTTGTAAAACATATAGGTGTATACTTATCATTTGAAAAGTTCATTAAATGACTATACTTTGAAAAAAAAAAAAAAAGCATTTTTTTTAGAAGTATGGTATACCATGTTTTTGCTTTTCTATGTTTGTATACTTTCATTGACAGCAGTTCTTTTAAAAAATAATTTTTTTTTTGTTTTACCAAATACATTTAATGTTTCAGATTTTTTTTTTTTTTTTAAGTACCACAATTCCGAACCAACCCATAATCACTGTGCAAGTATCATTTATGTTAAAAATCAATTAAAACTAAGGCCTTTTTTTAATTTTATTTTATTATTATTTTTTTTTATGGAAACTGGAAATGTATTAACCAGGGCAAGAAATGCCAAAGAGTACAACGAAAGCCAGACAACGGGCAAACAACCAAAAAACATACAGGAAGTACAAGGGGGTTGAAAACCTGACACTCGAAGCCAAGCTCAAAGTGTCCCCCTTTGCACCCTCAGCACAAAATTAAGGTCGGTAAGGTAAACCATCATTATTCAAGACATGCACTAGCAAAGATGAGGGTCGATCAACCCAAGACACATCACACATCTCCACACATCTACGCGATGCCAAATGGTCAGTCGTCAAATTGGCTGATCTTGGAATCCAAGACCAGCGACAGTCCTGAAAGGCTTCCCCAAGCTTCAAACACTTTGCTAAAATAGGAAAAGCCTCCTATCTTTCATCAGAGATTGTTCCCCGCAAACATGAAATGGTTGCATGAGAATCAGATTCAACAACATGGGTTAGCCCCAACGAGAGACCCAACTCACAGCCACATTTCAAAGCCAATGCTTCAGCACTAGCAATACAAGTCATACTAAACCTCTTCCTATAAGCAGCAAGGAAATTGTTAAAAGGACCTCGAACCACTGCTCCTGCATATCCATCACCCGTGGCAACATCCCAACTTGCATCAACATTTATTTTGACAAGGAGAATATTCGGCAGCATCCAACGAACCTGACCCGCACTACGGGATTGCGGCTGTAATGTACAGATGGAGGAAGCCTGCATGGCATCAATGAAAGCAGCAACACTGTGGAAATAATAGATAGTACCTGGATCAGATTGATAGATTTATAGTGGAAGAGGAAACTACACCTTGCTTTCCAAATATGCCAACGGGAGAAGGCAATGAGAGACAAAACCCGCTTCAAATCAGCCTTTGAGGGAGCATTAGCCTGCATAACAGCTTGAAGCCAAATTCCCCACGATGTAACATCCCGCCTGTTAACCTGATATGTTAAAGCAACCCCAAACCAAATAGCTTCCACCCACGGGCATAGGAGAAACAAGTGTTCAACCAACTCTTCATGATCATGACATAAAGGGCAAAGCGGTGAAGGTGCTGATTTTCGGTTATAAAGAGCTTCCATCATGGGCAGGGCACGATGCAAAGTCATCCACATAAAAACACCTTAGTTTAGGGGGGGGGGAGTATTAAGTTGCCACACCCACTTCCATAATAACGTTGGGATAGATATAGCCGACGAGAAACTCTGGGGGAGCATATGAGTGACCTGACAGTGCTGCCAATGATATCTGAACTTGACAGAATAAACCCCATTCTGAACAAGAGGCCATTCCAATCTATCCTTCATCATGGAATCACCAAGTGGAGTTGCCAAAATAGCAGCAACCTCCTCAAACGAGATAAACGGTCGAATAAACTCAATATTCCAGTCCCCATTAGCTGGATTAATAAGGGAATCCACCGTGGTATTACGGTTAACCTGCACCTCCTTGGAAGGAATGGGATGACCATCCAGAAGTGAGGGCAACCAACGATCCCGTCATATACGAATCTGATGGCCACTCATCACTTGCTAGTGGGACCTCTTAAGCAAAATATCTCTACCCCCTTAACACCCTCGACCCTCGACCATGCCCATGAAGCCCGTCCTCCCCGCTTGGCATCCAAAAATGAACAATGAGGGAAGTAACGAGCCATCAACATCCTTGCCCATAGGAACTCTGATTCAATAAACTAAAACAAATACATAAATGGTTCGCTTGTTAACAACAATTTTAAATAAAATAAAAAACAAAAAAAACAAAAACAAAAACAAAAACGGAGGGAAAAAAGTGAGGATTAAGGAATGCGGGAATGAACACCGAAATTACCATCATAACCTCGGCCCCCTTTTGATACCTCCGATTGGACGACTGGAGACAAAGTGTGACAGAAAGAATCATAGAAGGGAGAAAGAAGGAAAGGAAAAAAGAAATGGAGAAAGTGGTGGCGGAAGCGGAGGAGCTGCCGAAGGCTATCGTGCGACGGGTGGTGAAGGATAAGCTTTCCCAGTGCCACAAGGGCGACGGCGACCTAATCGTTCACAAAGAAGCGATCCTAGCATTCTCCGAAAGCTCCCGGATCTTCATCCACTACCTTTCCGCCACGTATGCACCTCCCCCCCTGTCTGGCCTCTCTCTGCCGTATCTTTTAATTATTCGCAGTAATTGTAATTAATTAGGTTAAATGTGTGATTTGGGTGCAGAGCAAATGACATATGCAGGGAAAAGAAGAGGCAGACGATCAGCGGCGACGACGTGTTGAAGGCGCTGGAAGAGATCGAGTTTCCTGAGTTCATCAAGCCTCTTGAAGGTCAATCCCTTTTCGGTTTTCATTGGTATATGTCAAAAGTTGTGCCCGTGAGGTGTTTGATGAAATGCCTAACTCGCTGGTTTTTTCTATGGATCTGAAATGCGCATATGATTGATTGCTCTTTGGTTTTTTGAAAGCAAATTCGTTCAATTTGGTTGATTTGGATGCGTGCAGACCTAAGGCCGAAGAATCCCGGGAAGGGTGCAGGAAAGAATGAAGGAAAGAATGCGACGAAGAATGCAGGAAGAAGTGGAGGAAAGAATGCAGGAAAAAATGCGGGAACGTCAAAAACAAAGGAAGTGAAGAAGAAGAGGAAATTGGAAGAATCATCGTCGCGGAAGCAAGGCGGAAAGGATGAGGACAACCAAGATGAGGATGGCAGTGGTGATGAATGAGTAAGCAGGCAAAGAATACACATATTCTGCTAGTTTTCGTGTTATTCGTTTTCTTCTTTGTTTGCTTCTCCATCAAAATCTATAACTGCCCATTTTATTTTCGAACAATCAGCAATTTGGTCATCCTTCAGAATCTTCATATTTTGACCCTTCGAATGCGAATTAAGATGAAAATTGCTTCTGTGAAAGCTACTTGGCAATGAAAAAGCCACCACCCTCTTCACAGCCTCCAGTTCTTGCATTGTATAAGTAACTTTGTGGTAGTATTTTAGAAAACTTTGACGTACAAGCCATAGATGAACTGGTGTGAGATTTTGCACTGTCCATTTAGAAAGATGAATGAACAAACGAGTAAAGAATGCGAGGGATTGTATCCGACGTTAGTGATTATCGACAATTTTTCATATCCATTGCATGAGTGATGATACAAATGGTTTCACTTGAGTTAACAAATCCGTTTACACCGAAAATGTGTTCATTTAACCAATAAGGGTAAGGTACATAGGTGTGATTGAATGAAGAAATCAGTATGCATATGGGTCTACCATATCAAACCTTGCTGTTACAACTGTATGTAACAATCTTGAACGCGTCGCTTCCCAACTTCTAACCATTACAGGAACAAATCAATACGGGTTATACCTGCGTCCATGCCCAGAATCATTGACGTGCCTACCCTTATTCGAACTTCCACTACTTCTGTTACCACTCCCACCATTACCCCAGCCACTACTTTGATATGACGGCAAGGGGTGTGGCTGCACACCCGGTTGTTGCCTGCAATGAGGAAAAATGAATTTAGGAAGTGTCAAAATGTTATTTCATGGCCTCTATGTAACACTCCAAGCGATTGATTATGCCATGGAAGAGTGGACACAATTTACAGATAAACTGGAATTTCATAAAACCCAACAGGAGTCCTCGATTACGGCCATTGTAAACATAACTTTCAAAGGTCAAATCGTAACCATCACTAAACTAGTTATATGGATCAATTTGTGGTCATACCAGATACATGTTTCCAATTACTATCCAGGTTGCCTGAACAGAAAACTGGAAAGTGGAAACTAGAGCCGAGAAGAATGAACACGAGAGGTGGGTTTTTAAATACGACTTGTCCAAGTCTCTAGTTTTCAACTTTACCCCATTATAGCAGAAAAATTGAATTGCATGCTTAATTGAAGACTTTCTGCAGAAATACACTCTCCGGCTTTATTTTAGGAAGAAGGGATTAAAGCTATACAAGGAAAAAGATGTATTGTGCTTACATAACGTATCCAATACGTCCATCAGGTAGAAGAATCGGCATCATTGCCATGCCAGCGGGAGCTGGTCCCGGTCCAGACATCAAAGGCTACAATCAGAATTCAGAACATTAGAAATCATGCACCTAGAAAGTATTGTAGAGAAGAGTTGGACCCAATAGCATTAGATAACAAATTATTTGCATGTCATGTGCATTGAACAAAGCATGCAGAACTTTTGAAGATCTACAACACATGCATTGGTGCATGAAGGAAAGACGATATACCAAAATCACAACTCAGATTCATAATTCCGAAACAAATGCATTCACATGGTAACCCTAACTTTTTAAATTATAGAGTCATGAAAGGAAAAAGAACCACGATGCCTAAATCTTAATGCCCAGCCAACTTTTCCCCCTTCCTGTTCTCTCTCAGCTATTTTCCCTTTCTCCACATAGACAACATAAAAGGTAACACAGAAGCAAGAGTCGTTTTTGCCCAATGTCGACTTATATGTTCACCCCAGCCATGAAATTTTGAAAAACCACTTGTTTTCTTAAGTGCTGTGCTCTGAATCTGTCCGCACCAACTACCAAGTCTAAGCCCAAAACAATTTGATTTCTTCATCAGACATAAACACATGCGTAGTTTAGGTAAGCTCAATGAGGTGTTGAACCACCCCTAGGCTAACTGTTTCATTTATTTATCGCCTGAACCCAAGAGTAAATAAAAGGGTTTTTATCACAAATGGTCCCTTATGTTTTAGGAATCAATGGCTTTCGTCCTTTATGTTTCAATTCAATTAATTTGGTCCTTCCTGTTTACTCCCACACATCAATTGATCCCCGCTCCAAATCTGTACAAAATCGGTTAGTGTGCTGATGTGGCACACATGTGGATTAAAAAAATTAGTTCAAGTAAAAAAATGGTTAAAAATTATAATATAGGAATAACTCTTTACCTGTCACTCACCTCCCTCTCCCACCCACCCAAACCTCACTACAGATTTCCCCCACTGCCTAACACCCCCTCCCGAGAGTCTTGAGTCTTCCTCGTGAATATGTGGAAGACACAAATATATGAAATCCTCTTCTGTTCCTCTCTTTGAGGCTGTTAAGACACCGTCTCCATCTCCAGTTCCATTTCATTGTTCCAGTTTTTTGGGGATGGGGGTTACCGATCTGTTGAATAAGCGAGGCTTTAGGAGGAGGAGGAGGGGGGATGGCCTTGAAGGTATTGTGTTCTATTTATTATTATTATTATTTATTTATTTATTTTTTCGTAAAACTTTAAATCATCTTTTACCAGTTGAATATTGGTTTAAATCATTTCATTGTTCCAGTTTTTTGGGGATGGGGGTTATTGCTCTGTAGAATGGATGAGACTTTAGGAGGAGGAGGGGTAGGGTGAGGCCGTGAGGGCATGAGGGGGGATGAACTTAAAGGTATTGTGTTCTATTTATTATTGTTTTTTCATTGTAAAACTTTAAATCATTTTTTAATAGTTGAATATTGTTTAATCCACATGGCAATTAATAAGTGAATTTCTAGGTCCCACATTTGTGCCAAACACAAACAAAGTTTTGGACGTTGGGGACCAAACTGATGTGTGGGAGCAAACATGAAGGACCTAATTGATTGAATTGAATCATAAAGGAAGAAAACTATTGATTCCTAAAACATAGGGGACCCTTTGTGATAAAACCCCGTAAATAAAATAATACGTATAAGTAAAGAAACTCAAACTGCTAACAAAGCACAAAAGGAAGACAAGAAAACCAGAGATGAACAATCTAATATCACGTTCACAAAACCAGCCCCAACAAAAGTTCTAATTCATAGTAAAAGTCAATTGAAAGATTATAATTGAAATCCGTTTAATGCCAAGTAATGATGGTCCATGAGCAATTTATTTGAGGGATAAATAACAAATTCCATGAGCAAAAATGTAAGTTAAATTCAATATTCACTTGACACTGTAAACTAACTAGGAAAACACCATACGTTGGCACACATCTCACCTGTGGAAAACCTGCCGCACCATACCCTGCACCAATACCACCATAGGCACCACCAGCCATGCCAACAAAACGAGGTGGATAACTAGGAAGCAACCCTGACCTCTGTGAATTTGATCCACCAGACTTCTGGTCTGCCTGTGGCCTTGCAAGAGAGCACTCCAACAGCTGGCCTGAAAATAGCGAGACCCGTCAAACATTACAAACTACTTTCACCATCTTTAGAATGAAAAAAGCAAACCAAAAAAAAATGCAGAAAGGAATACCATCAAGTTCATAGTTTTCAGTGTTCTTCAATGCTTTCATAGCACTTGACCTCTCTGCAAAATGTACAAAACCAATTCTGCTATTTTCCTGTCCGGATTTTGCAGCTGGCAGAACAACTTTTGTGATTTTCCCATGGTGTTCAAATAGCTCCTTTAACTGGTCTTGGGTCACATTTTTAGGTAAATTCTTCACATAAACTGCCTTCACCTGTATGAGAAAGGTGAAATTAAGAATATGCACCTCACAATCAAATAATTATTAGATCATCTGGAGTTTGAGCTATCCCAAATAGAAGTGGCATGACATGCAAACTGGTCAAGTCCAAATTACCACACGCCATCTTTATTTACACCCTCTATCTATGCGCATGTGGAAAGCAATTGTCATTTCAAATTCCTACTAATTCGACAGTTTACCTAGTAGAATTCAGAATATGGCACCTTCATTACTATGCACACTATCATAAATACATAAATGACTTTATCTCAACAAGTAAAATTCTGAAACCAAAACTATGTGATAGTTTATTTAGATTTTCACCAACTCATACACTGAAAGTTCCGCCAACATTCCAGCTACATAGATCCTCAGATATAACATGTGAAAAAAACAGGAAGATAAAAAGAATATAATTACTCAGAAAGAACCTGAGAAGTAGAAGACTCGGCATTTTTAGGGTCAGCCCAACTCACTGTGGGAGCATTATTTTCTAGCTTAAATTTTGGGTCCGTCATCTTCTGCCTTGAATAGTCAGCACAGGCATGGTTATAGTAGTCAACAAAAGCAAAGCCTCGGTTGTTGCCTGTATTCTTCATATCCTGTGACAAATGTTTAAATCATCAGTGAATTGAAGAAACTATAAACCAGTGAATAAGCATAACAACTGATAATGATTACCAGACTTTTTGAAAGATAAGAGTTCAGCCGGAGGATACAATAACACACACATAAGCATGCTATCAAAACCAAAAGTACTGTGTAATCATCGCACAAACCTTGACCAGCTCTATAACATTAACTCCGGGCCCAATCTTCTGTACAACCTTCCTTAGATCATCTTCCCCCCAGCTCCTGGGAACATTACCGATGAATAAACGGTTCTTTGCTTTAGATGTCGAACATTTAATTCTTCTACCCTGAGAGAGAGAGAGAGAGAGAGTAAATACAACAGAAGAGTCGCATATTTGGATTGAAAAGAAAATAGCCCAAAGTGTACCAAAACAAAGATGTTAATATGAGAAAATAGAAAAAATCATCATTTTTTTTTTAAATTGTAAATCCCTGCTTTTGAGTATTATACGTGTGGTCCTAGTAAATCTGCTCATGCACAAAAAGGTTACTTTACCTTAAATTCAGTGTTATTCAACTCATCGATGGCATCAGAAGCCATTTCCATGTTTTTGAATGTAACAAATGCAAAGCCCTTGTTCTCACCTGAATCTTTGGCTCTCATAATCCGAACCTGTCATTACAAAACAGTACAATATAATAATTTATTTCGTAAAAGAAAAAAACAAATGTACTTCTTAAAAAGCAAATGAACTAACCTCTATTACTTTTCCCACAGCCTCACAAAAAGCCTTTAAATCCTCTTGAGAAGCATCATGAGGAATGCCACCAATATAAACTTCAGAACCATGTGGTGGAAGGGCAAGAAATTCAGCATGCTTTTTCTTCTCGTCCTCATCTCCAGACCTACTCTGAGATTTCTGGATATCAGTTCCAGTGGGATTATTAGAATCTTCATCCTCCACCTCTTCTTCCACCTCCTCCCCCTCTTCATCTTCTTCCTCTACCTCTTCTTCTTCCTCCACCTCTTCCTCTACTTCTTCATACTCAACCTCTTCATCTGTTGCCTCATCAGGATCATTGTCTCCATCAAGATCAACCTTCTCATTGGATTCTATTGCCTTTTCAGGTTCAACTGGTTTAGCAACTGATGAAGCATTTTCCTTTGACCTTGGCATCTTATGTATCTAATTAAATAAGCTTGCAAGGCAACTGTGAAGAAGACACAGAAGCCAGAAGAATTCATGGGAAGAAGTAAACACATGTTGAAAGGAGGAAAATAAATGAATGGGCAAAAGGCGATACAGCTTATGATTCCCAAATGAACAGGGCTCATAAGAACAAACTCAAAGGGTTATCAATTTGAAAACCGTTTATTAAGGAGCAGTGATAGCATTAACAGCAGCATTAGATACAAGAAAAAGAGAGTTTTGAATGATTATCATGAAGATTATGAAGGTGGTCCAATTATTTGAGAAATGAAAATCTTGAAGTCACAACGAGATTGCTGTCCATGAGAGAAGAAAAAATATTGGCAAGTTTAAACTTATCTGAGGACACATTAAAGATTACAATAAAAAGAATAGTAACAAAAGCATTATATAAGGGGGGAAAGTTAGAGACAATTGGAGGAAGGAGACATTTATAATGCTTTATGAATTCATGGGTATGCACGGCCACACAATGACTTAATAAAAAAGTAGTGACCAAGAATTTATTCAGATGATTCAGATATAAAAAGGAATTAGACTAGTCCAATTTGACAAAAGCAATACCAGTTCCAAACTAAATGTACCAACGTGAGTACCGTCCTGCAATAAAATGACATATAACGACAGAGATGGGATGGAGACTACAGCTACAATTAAAATTCGAAATTCAACAATACATCCTCTCCACCCCTCTTAATAGGTCCTGAAAAATAGAATTTGAACCAATGACATTTTAACAAACGAAAATACGGGGTTTTACAAAATAATTTACCGTCTTTGTCATAAAAAAAACAATGCATATAATGCAATCTATTTGACAAAGACGAGTTAAAGTATATATATCTCTCATGGAATCAAAATATATGTATGTGGGTGTGTGTGTGTTCTATGTCTTTAGTGAATCATACTATAAGGCTGTGTGTGGTCTTTACGATTGGATTTGAATGGATAACCCACCATATTAAAAGTACACTGAAGGTAGAAGTGAATGATTTTTCTACTTTGAGGGGACGGAAACTTATCGCTTCTAATCCCCACAATTTTGAGGGGGATTGGAATGGATGAGTTTCTTTATCGAGCAATCCATCTTCTACCTTCAAGTTGGACACAGTTTTTCCAGCTTAATATAATATCCAGATTTCTTTTCATTTAACCCCCTGTTCGGATTCCTTTTCATCTAACACATAAATGCCCCACCATAGCTGAGCTAATTCTTCTGCCAACATAAACTAATGCTTCCACTGGACCAGAATCTAAGATTTGACCATACAAAACGGATCTTCCTTTATCTAGCTCAGCACAATCACTAAGAAAATGTGAAAGAAAAAACAAGAATTTGAAATGTTTGCAAATACCCACTTGAAATATCCAAAACCCAACTCAACATTCACAACAGGCATCGAATTTCAACAGAAAGTCGCATTATCCAGCCAAGAAACATAAAAGAGAAATGGAGCAGAGAGAGAGAGAGAGAGAGAGAGAGAGAGAATTGGAGAGGGAAGTACCAAGTGATACAGAGTAATCTGCGTGTGGTGATTACTGTAAAAAGCGAAGTTGGGGAAGCTTTGAATCCGAACTTGGCGCTGCGCGGAAATATAATTGAAGTTTGGCTCTGTTGGTTGGGTTTCATATACAGGGCCAACATAATATTAACCCTAGACACCCTCAATCGTGGCCAAACTTTGGATTCTGTTTCCAATTTGGAGATGTAAAATATTATGGAAGCAGATCCTCCGGACTTACACCTTACACCTCAGATCCAACGGTTGGAGTCCAACCCTTGGCTAAATATTTGTTAAAACCTAAACTCATTTTTGGTGTAAATTTAGCCTAGAATTTCCCTTGAGTTAGTGGGGTTGGCATACCATATATGTGTATTTTTTTTAGTTTCATATTTATATATTCATGGAATTTAACGACTAAAATCTAATTTGACCAAATTTAACGGTAAAAAAAAAAAAAAAATCTAACGGTCCAAATTCAAATCTAATGGCTAAAGTAATTTAAAAAAAAATATATGTTTTTTGTGTTTCATATTCTTTCGTAGTGTTCCACAAGTTTCATGGTGTTGATTTAATGATTTTTCAATATTTATCGGAATCTAAATATTTTTAAGTTAAAATGTATCTAAAATTAAATTAGGATAGTCTACATAATTTTTTTTTTAAGTTACTTTAAGAAAAAAATTATCTTAAATTCATTCTTTAATAATCTTGAGCTAAAAATTAACCCAGAAAGGTTGGAGGAGAAAAACTATTTCTAGGTTAAAACCTAAATTTTCCGGGTTAAAAATTTTAGGTTTTAACTCAAGGATTGAAGATGGTCTCAGGAGCCTGGGGATTAAATAATTCTAGCCTTTAAATTTTGATCATGCGGCCAAATGCTATTGTACCTTTTAAAAGGCCATGAAAATTTTGGCGGCATGATCAAATTTTAAAGGCTAGTGTGACTTTAATGTTACGTATTATTTACTTACAAGAGTTTTAGTCGTTGGATTTAATTTACACAGTTATTTAGATTTTTTATTTTCAATCTTAACTTTTCATTTTTGTATTATTCAATGTTAAGTAGTATTAAAGAAATAAACGTGTAACGAAAAGGACTGGAACTTCCAAATAGTACACAATGGAGTTGTAGACTTGTAGTAGAACGTATTGGTTAATTTTTCAGATAAAACATTTCATGCTAATAATATAACAATTTGTAGATTCTTTATTTTTTAAGGTTGTGTTATTAGTACGAGATGTTATGATAACAATATACTAGTGCATGGAAGATCTTTAACTGAAAATAGACTTGCAACAAATCCATCATTTCGATATATGGATCAGAAAGATTAGTAAAATGTGGAAGGTGACACACAATAGGACTTCTAAGTTTATATTCTCCATATGAAACTTTTTGTTCTCGTACCGTTTATAAACTTTTTTTTTTTTTCCTAAACACAAGCGATATTACTATTTTAATTTATACAGAGAGAATAAGAAAGAATGATGCATTGGAAAGAGAGGGAATGATTTGAACTCCACAACGGCAACCCCTGCAGATGTTCAAAGAAAAGAGATAAGCCTTGGAGAAAGAAGAATGTACACGTTCTTTAGAAAAAGAATTAGCCGTCTCTCTAAGTCCAATAAATATTTCTAATGTGAAAAACAGGGGCATTGGGCAAAACTATGTCCAAAAAAAGAAAAAAGGCTCCCCCACACTAGTACAAATGGTAGATGATCCAGAATTCCAAGACAACTGGTAGGAATAGGCAACTTACCCAGAGGATCGCAGCCTGTAAACTAATTTGAAGATTCAAGCAGTCTGTTAGGCTATCTCTAACCGAAGGGTCTAGAGGGTCAGATGGTCGAAAATAGTCCGAAAATCGTTTCCAACTGAGGGTTAGGCCAGAGGGCTCGTGAGTCCCACGGAATCTGAAAGGGCCAAAGGACTGGCCCAATATATTTTTTTTTTTTTGTCAGATTTCCTGTCGATCAAGTAATGTCGGTTATAACTGACACAAATAGAAGGGAAAATTTTGAATCCAACAGCTAGTTACCGTTGGATTCATTTTTTTTTTTTTGGGCCAAATTTTTTTTTTATGAATTTAAAAAATTTCCTTTTTTTTTCCTATTAATACCTAAGTCATTCTTACACTATTTCTCACATAATTTTGACCCTTTTTAAATTTAAGTTGTTGTAGTTTTTAAATTTAAGTTGTTGTACTTTTTAAATATAAATAATAAATTATGTTTGGCCCTATGACCCTTTGGCCCTTGGTTAGAGATGGAGGCAAATATGATTATGTACTGTTCATTAATTGGAGGCCCAGAGGGCTAAAACAAGCTTTCTGCCCAGCCCTCGGTTGGAGATGGCCTTAGGGCCCAAAAATCTCATGTATAAGTCTAACCACATCTTGAAGCTCGATCATCGTAAAAATGCCATGAGTCAAGCTTAAATACATGCAAAGGTACGAAGTCGAGGAGAACGTGATTTTATGATAACGCCATGATAATAAAATAATAATTTATAAAATGGACGTTTGTATAACCACGCCAAGCCCATGCAAATTCATGGACATTTATCATGCCAAGCCATGTTACGACATTAATGTTATAACTAAATCACGCCAATCATGCTACATGCTAAAGTGGGCCCAAGCTACATATCAGGGCTTGCCAAATGGATCGTGGTGTGGATGGTTACGAAAATTTATTGGGTCTATGTGAAGCTAAGGTTATAAAAAACTTTGGACTACTTGGGAGCACTAAAAGACCAAGCCCATAATTTTTGGTTTCACGTGAGTAAGTCTAAAAGAGAATAGACTAACTTTCGCCATCTCTTGCATACCAAATTGGGACACTTAGGAAGCAACCAAAACCCAAAGCCGAGTTGCCTACAAAATCACATTCAAACATAAAGCCACATGCTCCATTAATGAGGAGAGAATGCATCTTTCCCTTCCAAGCTTACACAGGAAAACGAGGAAGCAAAAAAAGGAGTATTGCTAAAAGAGAAGTTTGTGGACATTGACGTGTAAGAGGGTGCAGCCCAGTCTTCATGAGGCTAGCATCATTCTTCAACGATACCCCAAAAACGAAAGCTATAGTTGCGCCCGTGAAAAGGAGAAAAGGAGACTTAACGAAAAAACAAGAAGAAATAAGGAAACCAAAGGATTTCCTTAGAGAAAGTTGGAAAGGAACACTACGCCTACAAAATTGGAAGGAAGTCAGCACAACAAAGTTGGACAACGCGGGAAAACAACACAGACAACGTGGAGAGAAAATCAAGGTGAGATTGCACTAGGCAAAGCAAGCTTTTCTCCAAGTGCAAAAAACCTTGATTCTTGATGAAGGAATTCTCCTAACATTTCAGGAATTTCTTCAAGCTTCCTTTAGATTTCCTTGGCCACGATACTATTCCTAAAACATTAAGAATCCTAGATTAGCCATCCCAAAACGATACAAGCATGCACTGAGTTCTCTCTTACGCTAAACCAATAAGCTTTTAGCTTCCACGTCATGCTCTACTCAGGAAAATCATAGTTCATGACAATTATTCAGTTTTTGAGCCATTGATTCAATTGAGGTGCTTCCTAAGACATGCTAATTCTTTGAGGTATCTTATGACTTTGTTCTCCGCTTATCTCGAGTTTTCTTTCTCAGAAAACTAAAACGTCGTTCTCAAGTGTTCTTAGGGCTGGTTTGGTATTACTGTGCTTTGAAAAAAAAAACTGCTTCTGCTGTGCTGTGAGAATAAGCAGCAGAGTGTTTGGTAAACTTTTTTTATAAAAGTGGTTTTGAAAAAAAAAAAAAAAAAAAACAGTATTATAATGTTTGATAAACTTTTATATAAAATAGATGTGAAAAAAAACTGGTTTTTCAAAGCTGGGTTTTGTAGCTTTATGTTTTTGGTTTTTTTTTCACAAAAAACTATGAAAAAAAACTGAAGCTGAATGTTTACCAAACATAGAAAAGCTCCCAGCTTTTTTTGATAGCCATTTTTTTCAGAATCAACTCAGTACCAAACTAGGCTTAATCACAAACGGAGAAATTCCAAGGTAATCCAGTGTCCTCGAAATCCCTGCATCATCCAAACATCCCTCGTCAGAATCTGCACTCGCTTTAGCTCCGTTCAAGTTGCTGCTCCGTTGGATGGCATCTTCTCCTCCAGAGCCAAGGATCATGCACGAGTCCCCACCTCAGGTTATCCGTCTTCCGTGGCATCAATCTCTTCCCCAAGGTTCAGTAATTTGTTTGTGTGCTTGCATTTTCTGATTGTTTTATGATGAAAGATGAGAAAATTTTAAAACAGGGGTTTGTTTTAGAATTAGGATTTTAGTTTGTTTATATAATCTTTGATGCAAAAGTTTAAAAGGGTATGTTTGATTGATTGAAAGATAGCGAATAAAATGGAAAATTTGGGGTGAGTGCGTTGTGTTTTGGTTTAGTCTTTCGGGAATAATATATATATACCCTGATCAAGGTGAGCAGGAATCCCATAATCGAGTTGGTGACCACCAATGTTCCATTGAAGCTCTGGAGGCAGAGCACCCAATAGTCGACTTCAACTTCCAAATGGACACCAAGTCGTCTTTGCAGGTCAACTTCCAAATGAACATTAGCATACCACAACCACGAAAATTATGCTTTCGCAATTGATATGTACATCTTTGTACAAAATTCTCATATTTATGTTCATTGATCTCTTTGTAATGACCATATATTAACCATGTATTGACAAGCAGTGACAGGATCACTGTCTACATTTAGAAACTTCAAAGACGCCAAATCTGTATACTCATTTGTAACAGCAAAAATGTCTACGCAAGCACCTGCTTGAACAGCAACAGCAGCCTGTAAAATATGTCAATGTTTGCATTTCCAAAATAAATCCCCAGCATACAATAACAATGATACGGAAGATTAAACTACCAGATCTTAGTAGAACGGTGTCTGCTGACCAGCTGCTGTAGTTCTCTCCCATGAAGTTGCTGGCCTAAGCGCTTCAAGTGCAGATTTAATATGGTCCTTACAAGTTTCCACCTGTGACAAAGTTGCTGAATTTAGCTCACACAAAAATTATACATACCACAGCTCCACAACTGTGAATTTGGGTGCGTATACATATACATATACATATATATATACAGACATATATACACACACACACACACAAAAAGAAGATAAAAGTCATAAAACACTGGCTGACTTACTGGAGCCAAAAACTGTAACAAAGGCATGACATCTTCAAGCTCAAATGGTAGGTTGCCCTCTGTTTCCGGTGGAATGAAAACATTCTTCACAACTGGTATAGGTCCTTGAACATCATACAACCCTAATTTGTGACTAAAGGTAGCAAGACCAAACAGAGAACCGGGCCCAAGAGCTGTAAAAAGAAAATTGAATGTGAGAGTTTAGCTGTCAAGTACATCATCGTTAAGAAATGAAACGAACAAAACCATTTTCAAGTAGCAAGTACCAACCAACCTTACAAAGAGGCCAGCAATGCACTTTTAGTAAGTTCCAAAAATTCTCTTCTGAAGCTGAAATAAAATCCACAAAAGACAAATGTCACTGATCTGATGATATAACCAATTTAAAAAGGAAAAAATGCACAGATTAAGAAATGTAAACGATACATGGCTAGAAGATCTTTCTCATATCTTAACTCTTTTAACTAGATTTTTCGGCTTTGATTAAAAGAACTCACAACACATTTTATTACATATGATACATCTAACCATTTCCTATACAAGGCTGGAGTCCAAGGGTTTCCACCTCCTCTCTGTAGCCCAACCAAAAACATTGAAGCTATCAACATCGACCACAATGTCAATATAGCCGAGAATATGCTTAACTTTCCACTCCAGGTGCTACAGTGCTTAAAGAATTAAATTAATGTTCCTTGTCAAGTTCCAAATGTTCGCCTTCAAATATAAGTGTTTTCTTAATCATCTATATTAAAGCTAAGCCTGAGAATGTTTTTCTTAGGTGGCAAGCATGGAAGAATGATGAGAACAAACACAAATAAAAGCCTTCAAATCTCAAAGATTCAAGTACGAATTAAGTTCCCCAAAGTTCATACGTATAGCCTTGGCAATACGGTCATTTGAGTCTTTCAAATAATACCCTCCAAAATAAGCATTTTGAAATAAATAATTGTTTTAGCTGGACACCCTCACTGGTCTCCAAACCCAGAAAAACAGAAGCCGAATAAGTAACTAGCACAAACCTGAACATCATTTTTCAAACTCATGGAAAGGTAATTGCATTCGTAAGAATATCTAACAGCTCTAGTGACATATATACCCATGAGATTAAGCCTCAAATCTATATCCTAAAACACATACCCCCAACTAAACTGACATATCAAACATTACGAGAAATTACAGGATCAACACAGCAGAGAAATGAGTTGGACAGAACCTAATTGGATATCAATTCTCATCGTCATCATCAACAACACGCAGCCCAACGACATGACAAGAAATCATCAACCTTATTTCGAAGACAATTATGCCAAATTATACATATGAATGGCCATTATCCAATATGATCAACTGCAATCAGCCAATAAAAACATTACAACTTCCACCAAATGACATCAAATTTGAAGAACTTACAGGACAAATCAATGGCCGCAACACAAACCGGGCGAGGTTGCATTGCTTCATCCGACTCTTCTCCTGCACAATAGGAGAACAAGAAAAAGCACAAATACAAATTATCACTGAAATATTCGAAATTCGAAGCGCATTTTCTCGGCAAACAAACAGAAAGAGAAATCATATTAGCACTGAAAAATTGGAAAATTCAAAGTTCATTTTCTCGGCAACCAAACAGAAAGAGAAATCGGACGAAAGTGTGGGCAAATGACCAACCAGGAAGCTCCAGATCTACGAACGAGGACATCGTCTCGGGGCAAGACTCAGGGTGGGAGTATCGAGCAATGGCCTGAGACGAAAGCCCCTGAGGGTTTCCGCACAGGGCTCAGTTCCACGACCACTGATCCAGCTCGCAGTAAGTGTTGAAATACGCCCAGCAGTTCTCACACCTCGGCAGCAGCTGGCCGTCCGATCCGTACGCCGGCGAATGGCCGTTCTTGTCCTTGGTCCCGAACGGCGTCACCAAAACGCCCCATGGGATGCCTGAGCTCTCGTGGGCTCCGGCGTCGATTGGGAACCGCGAGACGGAAGCTCGAACCGCCATACAGAGAGCGGGGTGCGGTGTTTTTCGGTTTTTTATTTTTAATTTTCTTTTTCGAATTTTCTCGGGAAACAAACGGTAGATGAGAAGTAGGATGGGTGCAGGTTAAGATCCTGGGAGGGTGCGGATGTTAGTGGACTTTTGGTTGTGGCATATTGAGTGAACCAGTGGTTTTATGCCAACTGGGGTGTTTGCTGATCTGGAATATTAGCTGTTTGCCACGTCATAAAAAGGTCCGGCCAATCCTACTTTAAAATTCTGAGTTGGCCAGCTTACAGTATTTGTGAGATTCTATACATCTGGCACTTTTCGTGGTACTCCGTTGTCCTGTGTTAATGATGTAACGCATAAAAATATTATATCGCAAGTACAAAAAATCAAAATCACAATGTATTCAAACAATGTACCTCACTTTTCACTAAATGAGATTACTAATTTGGATAGATGAAGCACATTTTGATATGCATGATTCCTAGATACCTCTCATTTAAAACTAGCTTAATCATAAAGCTTGACATCTTCTTTACATATTCATATTTAGAACATATAGAGCTAACATAAATCCACCGTCTTTAATCTTAACGAAATTGTACCTACAAAATAATTAAATACCTTTGGCCAAAGAGCAAAGATATCGCTCAAGAAGTCGGAGGTTTGACCAATGAATCTCTGATGTCTAAGTTAGTTAAGAGACCGAGTTTAGGGCTTGATTGTGTAGCAAAAGTTTACCATAATTTGGTGGAGAACGGGGTATTTATAGGGAGATGTAGCCGGCCATGAGTAAAGGGAACTCGGCTCATGTGGAGGTGTCTAATAAGCTCATATTTATATATATTTTACATCAAATTCACTTGTCTTTTCTTAGTTAGTTCCTTATATTTTTGAGCTATTTACTTTGTTTTTGTGTTTTGTAAGATTTGTCAAGCAAAGAAAAGAAAAATAGCATAAGTGAGATTTTAAGTAACAAATTCGTCAAAACTGCTTGTGCAGATCAGCTGACTTTGGAAACAAGTTGCGGACAACTCAGAATGAACTAGAGAATGAGCCTTCTATGCTTGGAAAGCTATGGATGTCTATTTTCTGGACCATTTCGTAGATTGTTAATATCATTTTTCTAGAAGAAGTTATGGCTATTTTAACACCGAAATGTTCCCAAGAGGCTGAGCAGTTTGTAACTGACAAGAAAGCATTGAAAGCAATAAATCCAATAAATCTAGCAGCCAAAACTGATGCAGTCAAGAACAAACCAGTTGACACCTATTCAAATATTAGAGGAAATGGAATTAAAGATGAGGATTAAGAGGGAGTATTTGGCATAAAGGCTAACCAAGGAGTTATAATTGTTTTACCATTTCCTCTCACTTATTGTCATCACTAAATGTCTATTAGTGGGTGAGTTAAGGAGAAGAAAATGATGCAGCAAGAATTGGTTTAAAAGTAGCGTTGGGGAAGGAAGCAAAGAAGAGGCCTCTGTTGATTTCTTTTAGTTCTATTTTCTCAAACTGATGCGAGAATTATACGCACACAAATTAAACCCTCTTGTTGTCAAATTGTAGTAAGGATGCAAGTAGGGATCGTTCTAGACCGGGGATTAGGAGGGCTTGCTAAAACCTCTAAATTGACTCAAAAACATAAAAACAAAGTTAAAAACGTTCACAAACACTCAAAGGACTCAAAACAGGTTCAAAAGACTCAAAACTGCCTAAAAACACTAACTAGGCAGTTTCTGACCTTAAACACAAATTTGGACGAATTTAAGATTATAGGTTGATTCAAAACACTTTAAAACACAAATTAAGACACTTTAACACTAAACTAGACTCAAAGAATGCAAAACTAAACACTTAAAACACTAAAACAAACCAAAAGACTCAAACATCACCCAAAACACTCAAAACTGCCTTAAAAACACTTTCTGGGCAGCTTTGAGCACCTTGGTGAATTTGGACGAAATTAAGTTGTAACTTGACTCAAGACTCTTAAAAACACAAACTAAATTGATTTCTAACTAATTTGACAATAAAGTAAAGGGGGATTTAGGGTTTAACGAAATTAAACTAAATGAACAAATTTCAATTAAAACAGAATGTAAATATGAAATGGATGAAATGGAATGAATGGATGCTATGGCTAGCTAAGGGGTTCATCTCCACACATGTTACACTTGCATAATAAAAAGATTTCCAATTGCATTTCAATAAACCATGAATTCTCAAAACCCCAAGTTAACCGTGATGCACTAATTAACCTTCAAATCTTCCTAACGTTATTGAATTGGATGATTGCATACGACAACCCAAAACATTCCCCACAAGTCCCCTACATGATTGCATAATAGAGATACAAGCAAGAATCATTACGCTCTATGAAAATTATAAGTGTTGACGAGGCATTCGTTACTATGATTGCATGAAACTTATGCCAAGAATTCGTTTAACGCGATTGTTTATAAGCAACCTTCACTACTTGTGAATATAAGTTCGTAACTATTAGGTGAAACTCACTTATATTCTAGCGTCATATTCATGCATGAAAATTAAGTGTGTACTCTCAATAAACATACATAAATAAGTTATCAATCAAATAGTTAAACAAATTGAATCCACAACTTATGAAACGCAATTAGAAGTAATCAAATCAAAATGCAAGCATAAACATATATTTCGAATCCCCCCCTAGCCAAGGGGGGGTTTAGTTCCTCATGATACAAAACAAAGAGAATCAAAGAAACACCTAAACATTCCAACAACTCAAACTTGAATTGTATGAACGTTTAGGCCCTCTTCTCTTCCATTCCTCATTCGTACAAAACAAAGAGTATTGAAATTAAACATTGAAATCAAAGAAACACCTAAACATTCCAACAACTCAAACTTGAATTGTATGAACGTTTAGGCCCTCTTATCTTCCTCTTCGTTGTAGCACAAGGTCTAAGGATAGTTTGATGGTGTGAATGGTTTGGGGAGTGGTGAAAATGGAAGGAGGAGAGCACGGCAATGGGAATGGTTGGTGTTTGTGACTGAAATGTGTATGGAAGAATGAATGAGAATTTAGGTGTAATGGATGCTTATTTATAGGCGAAATGGGGGGAACATGACAGCTAGGAGGGAATGTGGCTGCATGTTTGAATGATTAAAGGATGCATGTGGGTTAGAAATGCATGTGCAATGGCTGGAAATGCAATGAGTAATGCACGACAAGGATGGGCTGTTTTGTGTTGTTGGTGTGTGAATGGGAATGTAATCTGAAATGGGAGAGCATGTGGGTGGAAATGCATGTGGGTTAAAGTGGAATGATGATGGGAGATGCATGTGGCTGATTTATGCATGTGATTAAAGGGAGTGCATGTTTGAATGATTAAAGGGACATGTGGGGGTGGAAATGATGAATGAAATGCATGTGAATGACAGCTAGATATGTTGATGAATGCATGTGACTTGTTTGTGGTGAGTGATTGTGCACGGCAAAGGGGGGAAGAAATGGGCTGGAATATGTGGTGGATGATTAAAGGTATGTTGCTAATGGTTTAAGATAAGTGATAAGTGGTGATGATAAGTGTATGATATGTGAGTATGATAAGTGATAAGTGGTGATGATAAGTGTATGATATGTGATTATGATAAGTGATAAGTGGTGATGATAAGTAATGATATGTGGGAGTGTGGCTGAAATGAAGGAGTGGAATGTTGGAATGTTATACACGGCTAAGGATATAGGAAAGGTTTAAATGTCCTAAAACTAAAGGGAACAAGGTTCCAACACTTTGGTCTTCAATTAGGTCTTCAATTTCGTCCAACACTTTGGCTCCAAGCATAAGCTATCCATCCTTAGCCCAAAAGTGCTCCAAAAGTCTCCAAAATGCATCTTTTTGCTCCTTTAGCCCTTTGGACCTACAAACACACGAAAATAGCTTAAAGTACTAAAATAACTAAATAAACATAACGTAAATGCACGAGAACAAGCCATTTAAGTCACATGAATATGCTCCTATCACAAACTCATGTCTATCTTTTGTTTTAACTTAAGGATTGTGTAACTAAATTTTTAGTAGTTAGGGGCTGTTTGAAGCCTCGAATATGATTGCAAGTTTGTTATGAGATTTTGTTTGAATTACTTTTATGAATGGATGAAAATTGGTTCATTACTTGTCTCATTGATGAATTCTTTATGTGTTTTCTATGGATGCATACAGTAAGCATATCTAGGATTCTAATGCTATGAATATATGTGTGCCTGCCCTTGTCGAATGAGGACCTACATATGTTCTAGAGTAGTACTTGTTAATTGCAATTAACATGTGGATCAATTTCTAGGATAAGTAAGACAACGCCAGTACTTACGATGCATTGTGATAACTCAAACTCTTTTCGTTCGTGATGATTTCTGCTTGTTAAATCTATGAACACGCTATTCTAGATTGCATGATAGGGACTAAGTTAAGTTGAAAACGTCATTCTCTTAAAATACCACATAAGAAAGAGTAATAGGTTGAGTTCTAACATTGAGCCAACTTGAGCATCTTCATCTAGAAATAGAAGGAATTTGAATGAAACATAACATGTTTGTATGATTATTTGGTAGTGGATAACACTTCTCCTAACTCGTTTTCTTAACTTGTGAACTACAATCTATTTTTACTACTTAAAATATGTTTTTGTCCTGTTTTTGTTCGATTTAATTTAAATAGCAAATCAACTCAAAAATCCCAAAAATTTGTGTGAGTGTAGCTCTGTGTGTCTAGTATTTTCATATAAAATTCTGTAGACTTTAGATAAGTGTAAGTTGGTCAAATAATTATTTTTCGGTGGCTGGCCAGTAGGGCAGCAGCCTAGTTTTTGTGACATTTTAAGTAGTTAGATAAAACAATCTTTTGCGGGAAAGACCCTTATTTTCATATGTTACAATTGACAAATCTTAGTGTTGATAAGGAAAATCAACAGGACATTTGTGTGCTACTTGATGGTGTGCTTTTAATCTTATCAGTGTCTAGTTGACTAAGGTGTGTCATTTATTGAATTTAGGTAGAGGATTAAATAAACCTAGAAAGCTCAAACAAGAAAGAGAGAAATTAGAGGATATTGTTCCTCATCCTTCAATTTTCTTCTTTGCTTACTGTAAACACGAATAATTCTTGAAACAAGAGACAAGAATACG